CTACTATTACTACTACTACTACTGCTACTAGTACAACGAGGACGACTGCTAATGCTGCTTTCGTTCATGGGTCAGGTGATGTTAGTGGTGGTGGTGGTGGTGGTTGTGGTGGTGGTGGTGGTGGTGGTGGTGAACGTGACAATGACATCGATGATGAATGATGGTACAGACGGTATAGAACTGTATAATTAGATGAAGACTGGTAATTCTCATGTTCGCTGTTGTTGTTCATGATGGTGACGACAACGGCGATGACGATGCGTTCATGAGGACGATGACGACGATGATGACTACGGTTATGATAACGATGACGACGACGATGATGATCATCATTGTGAAAACATCAACGACGACGAGGATGAAACAGCTTCTTCTGATCAGCACAGCAGTTTGGCTTTTTATGTTGCCATAGGCCAAAGGGCTGTACACTATCACTACTGACTGTAATTGCTACTGACTGAAACAACGACTGCCAGAGCTACGGCCAGTACTGCTGGTACAGCTAGCAGTAGTGAGGGAAGCCCCTGCTGTTGGAAGTGGCCTTGAAGCCTTACAAAAACAACGGAGACAGGCAGGGCCTTGCCTGGGCTGTGGTACAAAGCCTGCAGCGCCTCCGGGCTGAGCACCAAGCCCGGCCGCAGATCCAGGGCCTTGGGCTCGAATGGCTGGTTTTATGGAACTTACGGCTCTACTCATCACCGTCATCAGCAGTACCAGGTACCATTACCACCATCCTTCTCAGCAGCGGCAAACTTTTCTGAGCAGGATCAGCAAGAGATCAATGTTTCAGGCACCTTTCGCAGATCGCCTGGAGGCCAGTCGAAGTTCGTGAATACATCGCGCAGCGGCAACGGGGTTTGCGTGTTTACGAGGATGCCCGTGATATGAGCTGCGTTAGGTGCTCACCTCTGAGACTCTGGGCATCCGGCGCCCCCCTTGAGGAAGGTGAAGGCCACACCTCAGAGTTCGGTCAGTGTAGCAAAGGGGGGTGATTTCTTAACCACGTTAAAAGCACGACATCTTAACTGCGCTCTGTTTTTTTTCTAGCCGCGCGCAGGGTTTTCTCTGTTAGGGGAGAACATGTTTGCGGCTAGGACAAAACCCCTTCATGGTTAGGGATGTCTCTCGTAGCAAAGGAGGCCAAGAAACGCACAAGCCCCAGGGCCCAAGGCAGCCATCATCAGCTTCCAGTCCTTTCTAGGAGTCTGCACCCAAGGCACTGCCCACTTCCAGCCCGGAACGCCGCAGCTCCTGAGCAGCAAAATCTTCAGCCGGCTTCGTTAGGACGGCATGCCGGGCCTGCAGGAAGGCTCCCAGGGCAGGCCGGTGGAGCCAGGCATCCGCCGGCCGCAGCAGAGCCCACCGCTGGCCCAAACGAGCCGGAGCCTGGCGACCACAAGTCACAAGCCGCTCAGCCTCCTCAACGCCCTCGCCCTTTCTGCGCCTTCCGTACTGCGAAGTCCTCGAAGCTCACTTCGCTGAAGTCCTCGTAGCGGTGCGGCCACCGGTCCTGAGTCGAGCTTCAATCGGGCCCTGCAAAGCCCAAGCCTGAAACGTCTCCCTCTGCCTGGCCTCGAAGTAATCTTCGATGGTCTCTGGGCCGAGGCTGTCCGCGACGGACGTTGGGACCTTTGGAGCCTTGGAGCATCTTGGAGCGTGCGAATGGGGTTGGAGCTGCCCGGAGGTGACAAGAAGGATCGTAGCACCGCGCGGCCTAGACTGCGTTGCAACAAAGCTTCCCCTGACTTTCTTCTTCGAGGGTTAGGGCCCATTCAGGAAGTGTAAGTGCCACGTCCAGGGAGACCTTGAGATGCCTTGAGGCTTCTGGGGATGTGCGGCTCCGATGGCGGGTGCAAGCAAGCTGCTGGGCCGGGCTCGCAGAACCGGATCCTGCTCGGCTCGGGACGTCTTGGGATCGGGACTGGTCTGCAACACAGAGGCAGGCAGAGACCCCCCCGCCAAAAAAAAATGCATCTGCAAAAATGCGCACATATGCACGGTAAGGTATGTATGTCTATGCACGGAAGCACGAGTATGGTACGGATGCATGTATGTGTTTGCACGTGTCTGCATGTGTTTGTAGGTGTATGTATGCACGTATGTACATACTGCTTGGGGAGCAGAAGGAGGGAACAGCTCGATGCTAACAGCATGTCTGAGGTCTGAGCCGCAGGTATGATCACGCAGCAGCATTCGGTCAAAATACGATGGCGCGCACATACATATTGTTGGGAGAGCCACGGCATGGCATGGTACGGCCGGTACAGAATGTCGGATTCATAGCAGCGGTCCTTTCAGCAAGCTGCTGTGAAGTCCAAGCGGGCGTGGAAGGTACTTTGCCTTGGTTGGGCAGGTGGGCTCAGACCTCAGGATTGAAGCACCTACGAGGAACGTACATGAAAGGATTTTCTGGATGAAAGAGCGGAAGATCGACAAATAAATCCTCTGGCACCCTGCTCTTTGCCGGCAGGAGGCATGCGAGGTTGGGGAAGTCCTCCTGCAACAGATGTGGTGGTGGTGGTGGTGGTGGTGGTGGTGGTGGTGGTGGTGGTGGTGGTGGTGGCGGCGGTGGTGGTGGTGGTGCGGCAGTCTTGTCATCGTCGTTAATGGAATCAGTTATTGCCCTTGGAATTATGTTGCAGCAACACTCATTAGGATCAGTCATCTTTACACTTGCTCTGACTACATGTATGTGTTCGTCTGCTGCTTGCTTACGTGCATTATTCTGAACAAACTCTTGGCACTGCCTTGATTGCCGATTCGTCTGTTGATCGACTCCGGTAAGTAGTAATAGCAATATGCACCAAGCATACAATGAAGGACTCTGCTGCAAATAGCCGCACCGGTTTGATGTTGTCGTCCGCATTACGGTTGTCGACCTGTGCCACTGGTACTACAATCTGATTTGCTGTTGGATCTCCCTGTCCTTGCCGCACGCTTGCAATAACTAGCAATGACTGCTAGTGCAACCGACATCGTCGTCAGCAACAGTATCATCGTATTGTTAAAAGCAAGAACCGAACCACTCAATGATTCAGGTTCGGTTCACGAAAACCGCACGGAAACAAACCGGTTACCGCGGCCATGCAGAAATGATTGCAATAACAGCAAAAATTATAATAACAGCAAAGATAATGATGAGAATTAGAGTGGCCTAGCCTCGAAGGGATGGGAGTCCATAGCTTCCACCTGCCGGCCAAGCGCCGACTGAGCCAGGCCTCCTGACACCACGTGGGGCTTTCGTCGGTTACTGCAAGCATTAACAGAAGGGTTTAGGGTTTAGGGTTTCGGGTTTAGGGTTTAGGGTTTAGGGAAGGGTTCAGCTGAAAACTTGTTTGGTCTGATCTGCTACTTCGGGTGTCTTGTCTTCTTGATGCACCAATCCAGCAGGCCTGCTGAGATCCAGTGGTGTGCGAGCAGATCAGCCTAGCGCCACAACCGGCCCAAACGCGTTGCTGCATGGTTTGCCAGAATGGAATTTATTCAAACTGCTGAGTTTCGGCAGGCCGCGGTGAGATGCCGATCTTGGTCGGCCATGTTGCCTAGGTGCACACACTGAAGGCAGGCGAGACATCATCAGGGCAATCCGTCAAATGGGGCAGTCGACTGTCAGCAAGGGATATTGGCAGCTCGCGTCCGACGTTGCAATTCGCAATCGAATCATAATCTCCTACGACACGCCTCGAAGACCCAGCGGCCAAAAGAGAGTTCTCAAAGGAGAATGAGCCCAGTTGCTGGTGTGGCAATGCATCGCCGGAACATGAACCATCGGCACAGCGGTGTAGAGAGCACAGTAGGCCAGCGAGATCTCATTGGACCCGGTATAGGGACAAGTCCTCCACCACGGCTCGCAACTCTCAAGAGGCGTTGTTCAGCTAGCTACGTGCTGTCGTCAGAAAGCACAGGGAGGCAGGTAGAGAACCGCAAAACCACACATCCGCAAACATCCGCAAACACTGAGAAGCGGCCCATCGCAGCCCAGCCCGGTTCTTGCAGGAGGCGTGCGGCGAAAGCAGCTCAAAGGCCGCACGGCTCAGGATCGCCGCACCCGCGCTGAGGCAGGGCCGGTCGAAGTCGTAGACCTGGCAGCGAACGCCCCCCCCCTCCCCCGCTTCTCCGCCCCCGCTCCGGATGACCAGCTCAGCCTCGGTGTCGGAGAGAACCTGGGCTGCAAAAGCAAGCGAGCGCCGATCGCAAGGACATTTCGGATCTTTGGTGCGCCGGGCTGCATGTGTGAACATCACCGGGTGCTCGTCTTTGGACGCGTGGCCGGCCAAGAAGTAATAGAGCCGCGCAAGGTTGACATACACGTCATCTTCGAGGACCACGATCCAGCGTGTATCTGGAGGGAGGCCACCGGGCTGCTGCAGTGTACGGACTTGGTTCATCCAGATCATGAGGCCTTAGATGTCGCAGGACCGCGTCTGAATCTGGACCTGCAATTGGAAGCCATTACATGCGCCCTGCACACTCGCGTTACATATTCTGCAGACGCGGGACGAGACACAGCAACACCGTCTCGATTTCCTCGGCCGTGCGAACTTGATCACGTTCTTTCGGGCAAGAAGAGATGGGACCCTCTGCTCACGCCATGATTCGCCGCGGACCCGGCGTGCCGTCGTTCATCACCACCTGGGAGCAACGGCCCGGGCATGGGAACTGCACCGGAAAACTCGCGTCCCCTCGTGCCTGGCAGCTCATTGGGATGCCTGTGGCCATGGGTGGCGATGCACATCATATGCTGAAGAGTGGCGATGCACCTACCTAGAATTCTGGGGGCGGGCCTGGTAGGAGGGCATCCACCAGGTAGATCCGGTTGGCTGCCTTGCATTCCACAATCGGCCCTGCGGGGCTCAGAGCCATCTAAAACGGTGTGAGGCCGGAGCACACATTCCTCATTGCAGCCGGGAGGACAGCGTGCATCCAGGTCCGCTCCATGCGAATCGCGAACTCGGCCCTGCAACAGCACTCGCATGCTCTTACCAGGCCTACAACAAAGCAGAAAGATTATACCTTAAATTATAGGAGCCTGAATATTTTGACTTATAAAGTTTATTCCTTGCTTCATGATATTTCATGACACCCACCTCTCCAAGGAGGCCACCGCCACGAAGTAGATGTGCCGCATGCCCAGGTCCTGCCGGGCAGGAGCTGGGAAGGAAAAGCAGGTGGAACAGGCGCCCCAACTCTGAAACCGCTGCAGGAGGTCTGAGCCAGCCAGGACCCTCCAAGTACCCTCACATAGGGGTATATGGTCCCAAATTAAGGGTATTTAGGATCTAATAGAGGGTAGATGGAGGGTCTAGGAGTATAGCCACGCTGTATCTTTTGAGTTCGCATCCGGTCGAGATGCGGATGACGTGCAGTTGGCAGATCCCTGTTGGCAAACAACAACGGACAGGCCTTATGGTGGCGAGGGCAGAACAGGCCGCAAAGCAGTTAAGCGTAGCTCTGAGGTGGCACTGCTGGAGCAGACTCGTAAACTGAATACCTCCTGCGCTCAAAACAACGACAGACACACACAGCAGCAGCAGAGGCGAGGTTGGCGGACGTGGGGAGTGTCACCGGCACGACAAATATGACCCCAGGCTGTAAGCCATAGCTGCGCTTGCAACGGCTCATATCCCACAACAGCCGACCAGCTTAGGCAACCCAAGTTGCATCCTTGTCCACACGCAGCGGCGCTCCCAGCGACTCCTGCTGCACCAGGTTCACATAATCGCCGAGGGACCAGAAGCCTCCGAAGGAGCTGACAAATCCATGGGACCGAAACAAGAGTGATAGGGTCCGCCAGAACCGCCAACAAGGATACCCTCTCTTGCAGCCCTGCAGCGCTCGAACCTGGCACCAGCGCTCCAGAAGCAGCTCCTTCCAGGCTCTGTATGGCGCTGAGAGGAAGTAGAGAACTTGTCAAGTCTTGGGTCAAGACTGACTCGACGCTGAGGATCCAACTCCTACACTTGCATTCCTATCGCTTTCAAGTGTTATTTGTTGTACCATCATCGCAGGTGACAGCGAGGACGACGAGCACGACACCAGTGACTGTAGCTGAGGCTCGCAATCTTCAGACGATCCTGTTCTGCTCAGCGGAGCGGCCCGCGGCTAGCGCGATGCCGAGGAGCAGCAGCAGACCCGGCGGAACCATGGCTTCGGGGTGGAGTCGGTTGTTGGGGGGGGTGGCGGTCCTTCGGACACAATTCTGGGGGTGTGGGTTCGATTCTCGTTGCTAAAAGTTGTGTCTGTAAGTATGTCTAGTCGTGCTACTACTCGTATCAAGAGAATTTCATTGCAGTGTTAGGTCTTCACAAATTCGCTCCGGCGGGCGCTCCGCTTGGACTCGCCTTGAATTCGTATCTCTGGGCGGGCTGTACAAGGGGCTCCGGTGGGTTGAAGCTGCAGCGTCAGAGTCGTGAACTGTTTGCCAGACATTGCCCGGGTTGGCCCTTTGAAATCGACACCTCTATCCAAAGTTTGAGTGAGACCTCCTCGAAACTAGACTGTGAATTGACGTTCTAGCTCATGTATGGTCCCTCTCGAAGTGTGAAGGGCTCCCGGTTCAGGAGTCGGTCCTGGGTAAATTAGTTGAGTCGAATTTCTGGATGCATTCCAACCACCGACGGTCGCCCAGAAAACTTGTTAAAACCGAGCTTACAGGCTCTCAACTACGCCAGCTACGCGCCTTCAATACTTCACCAAACTACACAAACATATGGCAAATCATGGACAATCATAGTACATCATAATATTGTAGTATTTTCTGGTATATTATAGAACCCGAACTGCCCCAGGCCGCGACGCGTCCGGTGCCATCACGGACACCTCAGGGGAAAGCTACCGTCTTGGGGGTTTTAGGGGTTTGGGTTTGGGGTTTCCAAGATGACTGATGATACTGGCTGAAAAATAGCAAGAACGATTCCGTTCTCTTACATCGCAGCTCTCTGAATGCTTGGCAACAACCATGTGGGGATTTCCGAAAATGGGGGACCCTAATATAGTACCCCTAGATAGTAGGATCCTTATGATAAGGACGCCAAAATAAGGTACCCCTTGATTTCGGAAACTTCCATGTGCTGCATGTGAGGCAGTATGGCTTGACGCGCTACGCGCCACACGGACCATAAACGCCTTCGCGAGCTGAGCTCCAGACCGAACAACCACATGTGGCAAGCACCAGGAGACACAATAATATTTGTGCGGCTTGGGTCTAGGTGGTTGCACCTCTGGTGGAGGCCTGGGCACAGGTAGTTGAGCATGTGGTGCAAGCGGAGTGCAGGGGGTCACACTTCAAAGGATTTTGGCTCATTGAGCCAGAACATGTGCCCAAAGTTTAACAACACATGCACAACTTCGTCTCAAACAGACTGCTGACTGCTGGTCCAGCAAGTGGCAGGGAGATGCTCGCCAACCAGCATTTCTTGTCGCAGGCAGTAGCGGCTAGACAGCCCGACTCGCAGTCCATTGCCCCAGCTGCTTGCATCCTGCAGGTCAAGCACCGCTGCGACGGCCGCTGCGACGGCCGCGCAAGGGGCGACTGCCATACCTTTGCTGTGGCGCACAGGATGCAGAGCAGCAGTGGCGGGAGAATCAACCGCAGGTGCGAGAACCTTCGAGACAGATCCGGCGTGCGGCGCGTGGTCTTAACCTCCAAAATAGAGCCTTTCGGTGTTTAAAGGGGACTTTCACGAAGGTTGCCGTCTGCCTCTGCTACTTTGGCTTAGCTCTCCGACTGCGGTGTGAGACCGAGGCATTTACGTCATCAAACTCACAGCGCTGATTCACGTCGAAATTCAGCGCTGCTTCGGCCAAGCTAGTTCCCAGACAAAGGAGGCCGTGGGCGACCCTGCTGATAGAGATCTTGGGGTTGAGGGTGCTTGGCAATCATTCTCATCCCCGACTAGCCCAGACAAGGCTCCAGGGGAAGATAATGGAACCGCTGCAGTTTACTCCGCTCAGCATGGCAGTTTTGCCAGACCGTGCACATCAAGGGTAGACAGTGGCGTTGTGCGAACGCTCACCGTGATAGTGCCTGAGAAGATTGCCACGCATGCCGACTTCTAGCTTTCTAGCTCCGGAACATGGCTTTGATGACCTGAGAGCTGCACGCCTTTCCGCAGCTCACTTCTGCATGATCCCCCTGGGCGCTGAGCATCGGTCGGGAGCTACTGCGGATTCGAACCAGTTGAGCATAGGCATTTCAGGACTCGCAGGGGTTGCATGGGATCCGCCACCTCAAGCAAACGGCATCCGAATGCATTTTGAGAAAGCTATGATACATGTAAAACGAGGGTGCTTATTGGAAGGCAGCGCTTGCTCAGAGGCACGCCGGCGGTTTCGGGCCCCTATCTCCAAAGTGAGGGTCTGTCATTGTCAATATTTTCTATTTCTAGTAGTAGTAGCAGTAGTAGCAGTAGCAGTAGCAGTAGCAGTAGCAGTAGTAGTAGTAGTAGTAGTAGTAGTAGTAGTAGTAGGTGTAGGTAGTAGTCGTCGTCGTCCTCGTCGTCGTAGTAGTCGTAGCAGTCGTAGTAGTCGAGAATCCCACGGCGCCCAAAGTCCCAGGTCTCGGCATCCCGGCCATGCGCCGCGAGGGCGAGTTGCTTCGGCTGCCCGTCGGAACGATGCCTGGAGCTTCGGTTTAGGGTTTAGGGTTTGATTCTTGATAGCTCGTCTTTCTGCTTTGCTTTATGGCTGTTAAGTGTAGAGGGCGGAATCTGCTGAATGTGTGTTGTGTGCAAGAACAAGAACTTTCGGAGGCATCAACTTGGGAGTCCTCCCGAGACCATGGGAACAGCCGCCGTTATCGGAGCCACAATCGGAGGGCTCGCCTGAATTCAAGGAATTCCGCAGGCGACAACTCAGATCACGCTGCAGACTCGGATCCAGTGCTTCCGTGCCACAACGCAATAGGTTTGCGTCGTTGTCACTGGCGCGGCCACTGCGGGATAGGTCCGTGTCCTGGGATGCACATGGCCTTCGACTTCGGCGTGGACCAGAAAAAGGCACGGGCCCCGGAACCGAGGGCCGCGCGACACAGTGATCCGCTCATGCGCAGCCGTCCTGGGCTCAAGAGGGGGGGAGTCCCGCTGTTTCGACAGATCCCTTTGCTAACAAGCGGCGGGAGGACTTGGGGTATCGGAGAGCCTTGCCTCACCTGCCAGCCAGCCTACGACTTGCTCGCAGGCACCAGCACAGGCCCGGGCCTGGGGATACCCTTTGTAGACCATGACAGGCGTGCTCGTTCCGGATTGCACCGACCTCGTGAACGGTGGGAAGCGACTCTGCGCTCATCGACACCCAGCAATATATTGAAACATCACTTTAAAAAGCAGACCATGGTATATACTGCACTTGTTGTTCCACCTGGCTTTCAATCCTCCGGCCTGGATCTCCCTAAGCTCCAGGGCTAGGGATCCTTCCCGCTGCCACGGGGGTCGGCGAACTCGTGTTCGATGTGTCTGTAATACACTCTATAGGGCTCCGGGCCGCACGGAGGGGCTGCTGACCAGGCCGGGCAGGGAGGGACCGGAGCGGGAGCGATTCGGCCTGGCTCAGCTTCCACATGCCTCAACTCTCGGACTTGTCGGAAGGTCACCATGTCTTCGTCGTCTTCGTCTCTTCGTCGTCGAAACTGCGATAGTGTTGCACGGCATTTTCTCCGTGGCCTGAAGCGGATCTCCGTGCCGTCGACCTGGCATTGCCGGCCGATCCAAGGTGATAGAACAAACTCGGAGTTTCTTAAGAATGACGGAGGTGGTGGTAGCGGCAGGGGCGGCGGCAGTGGCGGAATATCACGAACGCAGCACGTGCCTCGCCAATCTCTTCCACGTCGCTTCCTTCCTGAACGGCAGGCTACCCACTTGGACGGATCTACCAGCATGCACTTCCACAAAGCGACTGCAGCATGGGATGTCGGGCCACGCCTTCATCTTCGATGAGAGGTCATGAGTGTGGCCGTCGATGGCGTCCTGACAACCCAGTCAAATTGTGCTTGACTGTCTGCGGCTCGAGCGCAGTGATTGGCTGAAGCCAGCGCAACATTAGACTATGCCAGATTCTGCCAGCAGCTGAGACCCTTTTCACAGCACTTCTTGGGTGCAGGCCCAGACACGCTGCATCTCCAGTCCCCTCTCTTCGATCTCCTGCCGCAGATCGTGAACTCTTTAGTTCCCATTTTCGGGGCCTGGAGTCTTGACAGTCTAAGCATGAGCATCTTGGAGCAGCTTTGCGAGATCCAGCGCAGTTGAAACGGAAGCTCTTTTGCCAGAGTCCCGAGCAGAAGCAGTCGGCGCCTTGCGCATCAAAGTGTCGAAGATGCCTACCTGCCATGCACAGGACAGCAACCCCTCTAAGAGACCGCTAGCACGGCTGAGAGTAAGCATGGGAGAGATGTGGAACAGGATGGAGAGCAGACTTCAAGGTCCCTTAACCTAGCCGCTGCCACCGTCCGCTGCAACGAATCCACCTCAGCTGGAAAACCGGAGCTTCTCCGAGTCTCCAAGGCGAGGCAAGGCGTTGAGGCTTGCAAAGCTCAGCACGGCGCCCGTTCGCCGATGGTCTCATGGTGCCGGCTGCGCTCGTGGGTCTCCTTCTGGAGGAGCTCCTCAGAACGGCGCCAGCTCCGCTATAAAAGCCTCTTCCCAAACCTTCTAACTACCTACATCTGCTATCCTAGTGGAAGAAGTCGTGAACCAAAGCGTCACGTGTCCCAGGTCCTCTATCTGCTGTCTGGCAGCCCTCTCTTTGCTGATCAGGTCCTCGTGCAGACTTGAAGAGATCGGAAGTGGAGAAGTTTTGGTTCTGCAGGACAGAAGCTTCCAACGGGTTCCAGCGACGAGCGACTGCTGCTGTTGGATGGCCGAACGCTCGAGGATGCAGCTTGCCATGCAAGCACCAACGTCTCCATCAAGACGGTAGTCCCGCCCACGCTCACTGCTGTCCCTTGATCCGAGGCACCGTGTGGATCTCGTGGTGCTGGCCCCTCGCGTCCTTCTCCTGCTTCACCAGCGCCTGCGGGCGTGGCAGTTCAAATGTCCACACAGCATGCAAGGAGTTGCAACTACAGACGTTGCACACAGCCTGCGATGGTGTCTTCTTGCTCTACCCTCTGATATGGCACCAGGCTGCTGCTTCTACGGCTGCAGAGTCCCTAATGCCGCAAGCGGACGACCCACCTCTACGTGGTCCACATGGCGCTCACGGGCCATCCGCTCGTGACCAAACTGCTCTTGCACACGCTTCTCGTGGGACTGCGACAGGCAAGGGCTGAAAGCTTCAGACTGCATTGGACCCGGCGGATGTGCTGAAACTGTCGGCTGCCACAACCAGCAGGTACAGGATAATGGCCTCCATCGTCTGCCTATGGTTGGCCATGTGGTGGGCGACGGCCTCCTCGAGCGCCTCATCCGCTAAAAGGGGATCGGGCTTGCGGGGCCCTTTAGCCTCCAGCTGTGCTTTGTCGGACTTGTTTCACATTGGACGTGAGTATGTCAGGGTGGAGCAAGCCTCTCCGACTAGGTTTTTTCAACGTTGTTGGGCCGTTGTGTAAAAACAAGACCTCTGTTGCCTTTCTCTTCCTTTCCTGCTCCGTCCCTCAAGACACCCACCCACATCTCAATGCCCCATGCAGGCCCGCTGGTGGGGACCGGACGGGACCTATGTGCCAAGTTTACACTAGTCTTGCGGCAGAGAGATTGCTACTGCTACACGACAAACTGAATTATAGATTGTGGACTACTTGATACTACTTGTCAATTCCGAACAGCCGGGCTTCGCAACCAGAGCTCAAGCATCGTTCGTGAAACCAAGCAAGAAGTACAATTTCAGCATACCAACGAGTAACATATACACCCTCTACCTATCCATACCCCTCGCCTCCCTGGCCCGCTTTTCGCTCTCCAAGTGCTCGCTGATGGCTTCGCCCTGCAGGCGGCTGGGAAGAGGCTCGTATGAGCGAACAGCCCTCGAACCCAAGCCCCAGCGCCCCACCACCCCCAAAAAAATGAAAATATATCTCCCCAAATCGGAAGTCCGGCATTCCATGAGGCCTCTGCCTACACGCAGTCTCCCCAAATCAGAAATCTTGCCCGTGCCTGGCGCGTGCGCGTGCTGCGCTCCGAATGTATCTGGGTTCGTAGGTCCTCCAGCTTCCTCGGAGGGGCGTTCGAAGACGAGGCAGGAGTACGATAGAGTAGCAAGCAAAATGACTGCAATGATCGCAGCACGACCCTGAACCCTTTTCATTGTCATCATCATCATCATCATCATCATCATCCTCATCCTCATCATCATCATCCTCATCAGCATCTTCATAGCAGTTGGTCATGGGAGGGACATGGTGTCCAGGCTTTGGGATGGTCAGCCGGGCAATACAATTTTTTCTCTGCCTCGACTCTTCCCAGCCGAGGAAGAGCCAATGCTCTTCGCCTACACTACACAGAAAGACCACCAGGATCCACCAACACGTCGACGTATAGCAACATTTGCTGTTGCTAGTACCTGCTTACACCGCACCTGCTGCAAGACTCGAGGGGGTCGCATCAAGGCCCCGAGTCCCGAAGCCAAAGCCGGAGGAAACCCTGGCAAACTCCACGCCAAGCGGCCCTTCGAGCCGACTGTCCGCGCTGGAGCCCTGGGGTTGACAAGGCGGCAAAGGAATACAAAGGCGTGTGGAATTCCTGTTGCGCTTGTGCAGTTTCGGCAAGTCTTCTTGGTGATTTGCCTGATGTCCTGTTTGCCTTGGCGACGTTGTTTGGGGAAACTACTACGCAAAGACTCATTCATTCTCCCTTCGAGCAACACAGCAACGCTCCTGCTGCACTGCCTCAATTGATGCATCGTTTTTTTTTGCGGTGGCAGAAGCACAAGGGGCGGGCTGCCGGGCCTTTCTGGGACCCCCAAAACCGTACGTCACTCCACAGAGGTTCTAAGTATGATCTAGAAAAGCCCCCATCAAATCCCCGTCTGCTTCTCTGGGGGCTCCGCGTGCTTCTCCTTGGACTCACCCAGGTAAGTCTCCAAGAAATTCAGCCTCTCCTGATGCTGGCTGCTCCTATTGCGCATCATGATATTTTCAACTTCGTTCTATACTAATGGCTATATATATATATAACATATATAGCTACACGATTGTATTCTTGCACAGGAGGCCAAGTCGTCCTACAGGCGCATGATGACAAGAAGAACGAGAAGCCTATGAAAGGTGCAAGACTGAGTAGAACGAAGACAATCAGACAATCGCCACAGGAACGCAAGGAACCGCAAGATCCACAAGCATCACAACGACAATCGAGGATTGCGATCTCGGCAAAGTCTGGGAGATGTCCCCAAAACGCACACATCCAAAAGTATAACAGAGAAACAGAATCTCAACAGCTTGAGATAGCAGATTGCAGCAGGGTGGGTGTCTGTTCCCCCTCCTCCAGCGAGTAGTGTTTGGCACGATTCTGGCTTTGCTCCTGGCAGGTGGGGCTAAGGGAAGGAGTAGTCCTGCTCATCTACACACTGGGACTCCGGTTTGGACAAGTCCGGAACTGAAAACCGCCAACCTGCTGCTCCACTCCCAGCCGGCTGTGCAGCGATTCCACCTTGCCTGAGACGACGGAAGGCTCTTGCATCCTTGTTCTTCGTAGCGCTGATTGCAACGCTTGTTGGTGCTGAGACTCGCCGTCCTCTTAAGTCATGTTCGCTAGCACTGAAAACTTATTTTGCAAAAGCATCGTGGTTCTTCTCCGTTCATGCAAGCTGCTAGTATTGCGGTTCACACGACTAGCAAGTAGTCACCCAGTTAGCACCTGTATCATTCGGACTTTAACTTGCTGTCAAACGTATTCGACACAAGTGGCTTCTGGTGGTGGCCAACTCCGCGCTGTGTCGGTCGGCAGAGTCGCCCAGCGCCTATGATTGCACAGGAATTTTCGAACTTGGTAGCATCCTTGCGGGCTACATATTGACACACACACACACACATGCGAGCAGGGGCCTATCGACACCCAAAAGCAAGCATCTCTTACCAACCGCGCCCTGCGCCAGGGCCTGAAAACCCTTACAACATCACTTGGCGGGTTTGTCGCAAGGTGCCTTCTCCAGGTAGCCGACTCGCTCGGCTAGGGAGGCGTGATGTTCTTCCAGGGCAGCCTTGCAGAAGTGGTGCCGGTCAAGTGGGAAGTGAAGGCGAAACATGACAGATGCCAGCTATTGCCAGCTTGCTTGCTTGCTTGCTTGCTTGCTTGCTTGCTTGCTTGCTTGCTTGCTTGCTTGCTTGCTTGCTTGCTTGTTTGAGTATCTCGTGCGTCGTGGCAGCTTCAAAATCGTATCATGGCCATGCACATTGAACATCTCACTCTCGCAAGCCCGGCAATCTCAGCACACATCTCGACAGCCACGGGGGGGGCTGTTCGGAGCACAGCGGGCGAAAGGGAGCTCTCGGACCTTGCCGCCGGCCATGGTGTTCTGGGCCTTCTTCAGCGAGTCGATGTGCTCTCCCTGCACCTGCAACGACGGCCCCGGAATGTGAAATCTTCATGCCACGGCTCAAAGTGCAAAAAACCTTCTCAGGCACCTCACACCTGGAAACGCGAGCGTGCATGTCGTCCAGCTTTGCCCTGGCATCTGCCAGCTCCTGTAAAGCCATGCTGAATGTTCATGATCTATGGATCTATGGGTTGTCATCTGCTTTCCACCGAACACCCCATCATCCTGAGCGTGCTTGGAAGCAGAGTCGCCCAGCAACTGCTCGATGTACTGGAGTCGCTCGGTCAGCCTCGGCAGTGAAGGCTCCAAAAGGCTGTTGGCGGCAACAGTCCCAGATCCTTCCCTCGGACCTCTGCCTCTCTTTGCCAAGGAACGACGAGTGGGCTGTCTCCTTGCTCTTGGAATCGGTGACAAGCTTTGCGTGCGACGCTCGAAGCTCGGCCAACGCCTCTCCGGGGTCCGGCAGGATCCAAGGGTTGCTGTGGGAGAGACAGGCGAAAGAACATGCTTGGGCTTCACTGGCCTTGCCGTGCTTGTCCGCATTGTCTCCGATGGAAGATTCAAGGAACTCCACACGCTCCCTGGCGATCAGATGCCGGTTCTCAACGTTGCGCACTTGGCACCCATGAGCCATGGCCTCAGCGATGCGTGGACGGCATCCTGCTGCGCTTTTTGGCCTCAGTGGGCAAGCATTCCGCTTTTTTGCGAGGATTAGACTTAGTCAAGTTCCTCTTCCAGCACTTCACCGTCTCGATTATCACCCCCTGCCTTTACACAACAATTTCACTCGAAGAGACCGTCCTTCCAACTTCCTCTATTTGTAGCCCTTTAGCGTATGACCCCAAAGCAGGTGAAGCAAACCCTGGGGCCCGCACTTTGCAGACTGTTATGAGCCTTGTGCAGCGTGTCCAAAGAGGCGGCATGAGCCTGCTCACTGATCTCATGGCTTAAACGCGAAAACCCACGACTCCACTTCAAGTCAAAGACAGCCCGCAGGCAGAACTCGAACATCATCAAAAAGGCACGGCCTCTCGCGCGGTGCGCTCGTCGGAAACCCGGCTGTGCCTCCGGACAAGCCCACGAAACGGCTCAGGACAAACGGAACAACCAAGTGTCAGAGACCTACCTCTATCGCTCTAGCATAGGCATGCAGGTACTACCATCTTTTCCATAGTCCTCAGCTAACCTGCAGCCCAGAAGCGCAGCATCCACCTTGGCCCCGGTCGAAGCTAGCTCCTGCGGATGCGCAGCCGTCAAGGCCACGGGAGGACTTCGAGTCTACTGTAGCTGACCACGAGGCTCAGCGAGGGACAAGCTAAAACTCGCAAACCGCTCTCCTTCTCGAGGGCATTCACTCGCTCGTTGAGCGTGGCGTGATGCTCCTCGAGCTTCTCTTCCAGCTTGGCCTGGGGGCTTTGGCGGAAGAAGAATGCTTTCCTAGTGGCCCTAGTACGCCTTGCAATGACCCGTGTCCCAAACCCACGCCTTGTTGCCGGCCATGGTGGCATTCGACTTCTTTAGCGAGTCGATGTGCTCTCCGTGGACCTGCCAAGGCCGCGCGGACCGCTGCAAGCGCATGCTGGTGGCCCCCTCGCCTCGCACTGCGACACTCGCGCATGCATGTCGCCCAACTTCGCCCGGGCATCCGCCAGCTCCTGACACTCTCATTTGGGTAGTTGTCAAAAGTATGGTCCCTTTTGGGGTACCCTAAATAATAGGTGCCGTATTATAATAAGGACCCAAAAAGGGGACCATTATTTTGACAACTACCCATTTTGGCTTCCTAGATATCCGAGCATAGCAGATCTCTCTGGTCCTGGGCATGCTTGGCCAAGGAATCGCCAAGCGTTTGCTCGATGTACTGCAGTCGCTCAGACAACCTGACATCGCTAAGTGCACTGCACGACATAAATGCATCATCCTGCTAGCACGACGTAGACTAGTAGTCTACAGTGAGTTAGACTCAACCAACTGAGTACTTTAAGTTGTCGTTGCGGCTGTCTGGGTGATCTTACTGCAGCGCTCACCGCAATGCAGTTCCGACATTGTGTAACAAGCAGCGCCTGACGAGCCGGCCACAGACTTATGAGCATTCCAAGGCATTGCAGCTAACGTGCCAGGCACGCGATGCGTGGATCGACTCCTGGGGGAAGAACCCTTCAATGATCCGAGGGCTGCAAACACACCCTTGCTTCAGTTCCCGCTTCCTGCTTGGGCAGGCAGCTTCTAAACGCCTCAATCCAAGAAGGCCACAGGTTGTCTATACGCTTGCAATGACACCACACACCATCCCATGCGGTAAAACCCTCGAGAATTGCTGGCCCTCGTCGCGTCAGCTTCTCCTTGCTTCCCGGGTCTCGATGCCCGCCCCGAAAGAAGCCGACGCCGAAGCGATGCTGGTGTTGGCCCAGAAAGCCAAAGGCAAAAAAAAGGGGACAAACCTCGGATTCCCATCGGATGCTGTCCTTCCCACTGAGGATCTTGGCGTGCGAAGCTTTGAGCTCGGCAAGCGCCTGGTGCGGGACTCCATATTGAAGTGGTCTTGGCTTCGGATTTAGGAGAGAGACTGGGCTGGTCGGCTAGTTAGGTTCGAGCTTCGGAGGTCAGAGCAGCTTCGACTCTTGTTCAACGCTCGGGGTGTATGCTTTTTCTGACGACTTCTGCACATGCCTTCTTTTCAATGACTGACTGTGCTGAAACAAACTCGCAAACCGCGCTAGCTGAATAGGAGGCCCCCGATGGTCCCCCAAAACCGCGTCCTTGCCATGCTTGTCAGCATTGTCCCCAAGCGAAGACTCTAGGAACTCCACGCGCTCCCTGGCAAGGTCAGACGGCACAGACCCTCGATTTAGGCTCTTTAGGTCTGCAGGGTGTTGAGACGCGGGCCTGTCAGGCTTGAGCAAGCAACAGCTAGAAGTCTATGAGCACCAAAGGCCTGGAAGCCCCAAGCGAAAAGGGCCGGATCGAACCGTCCTCAGCTAAAGCTTACCAGATAAAAGCCTACACGAACCCTGAACCCTGGACCTTACAATGCGACACCCGAACACTGCACCTCAGAGACGCATGCGTGACATCCTGCTGAGCCTTCTGGCCTCGGGCAGAAGTGGGTCCGCAGGCTTAAGGCGCTTAGGAGGCTCTCAATAGAACTTGCGGCATTGACATCAAGACTGACGGCAGCATCTTTATACTTTAATTGCTTCTGACAGCAATTGCAGCATCATCACAAGGCTATGCCACGAGTCAGAATTTGACGAAGATGAAGATGAAGATGGAGATAAAGATGGAGAACAATACGAAGAATATGATGATGAGGAGGAGGATGGTGAGGGGATGGTGAGGATGATGATGATGATGATGATGTTGATGCCGATGCCGATGCCGATGATGCTGATGCTAAAGCTGATGCCGATGATGCTGATGCTGATGATGATGATGGTGACGATGATGGTGATGGTGACGATGATGATGATGGTGATGATGATGATGATGATGCTGATGCTGATGCTGATGCATATGCCGATGATGACGATGACGATGATGAAGATCATGATGATGGCTGCGCCACAATAATCACACTGAAGCCGAGGTCCTTGCTGCTGAGCGTGCCCTGCACCTGCCAGTTGCGAATATGTGGCAGCAGCATGCATCCTTGGATACATATACACATGCACCTGCATATACGCATACATACAGTGTGTAGATATATGATATATATATATATATATGTATATAAATACATACATATTGTATAATTATATATATATATATGCGTGTGTCTCCGTGTTGTGCAGGGGTGTACGTAGGTGTGTTTGGGGGATTTGCATATGCAGATATACATTCATGCAGACATAGAGAGAAGAAGAGACTCTACTGAAAAACAAACCCAGACCTGGAATCACGTAGATACGTACGTATACGTACGAGTACCCACATACAGACATAGATGCACACGTACATGCAGACAGACAGTGACAGACAGACAGGCAGGCAGGCAGCCAGCCAGCCAGCCAGACAGACGCTCAGGCGGGCAGACAAACGTACGGACACACACGTGCTTGTACTCTTCATGTATTCAGGTATACAGAAGAATACATGTACATCTGAATGTTGTTGTAAGGCTTGAAGTTCGTGTGCGTGTGTCGATCTACCGACACCGTGACACCGACATACACAATCGCCAAGCGGAGACTCCGCTAGACTTGTACAGGAGACAGGAACAGGCGCAAGGAGCCCGAGAATGCGGACCACCGGAACTTTTCCATTGATACAAGTTGCACTTGAGACGTCAATCAGTGGTACTGGAACCCAAATGTAAGATAAACAGCAAAGAAGGCACGGCCTTGTCAAGGCCCTCCGCCAAAGCTTGGTGGCTCCTTGGGAGACAAAGGAGAGGAGAGGGAGAAAAAAAAGTCGGGGACCTTGAGCTTGAAAGTGGGCACTGCACTAGGCTCTGGGCTTGTCAAGCATCTGCTTCTCACCTTGGTGCTTCACGGGGATGTCGTCAACCCGGAAGATTTGAGAAAAACTTGGAACACAAAGCACCAGACCGGGGCCTGCACCTAAAAGGCTGCCGTGGGCCTTCTTCAGGGTCTCCAACGAAGCCGCATGAGCCTCTCTGCCGGGGTTGTGGCTGACGATCGAACTTGGGCATGCAATGGCACAATATACTACATGAGGGCAAGAAGGCATCCATAGACTCGCTCACCGGTCCGCTCAAACCCGCCTCTCGCGCGATGCGCTCGTCCGAGACCCGGCTATGCCTCAGCTGATTTTCGGGGTTATATCCGGGGGAAAAGCCAAGGCTTTGGTGGAGTTCATGCGGCCCAAGCACCGCAAGTCTCAAGTGCAAAGAAGCACAGATGCAGGCGAGCTGCGCAGCCTCCACCTTCGCTGCGGTGGCTGCCAGCTCCTGCAGTGAACGGAGTCGCCCTCTCTGTAAATCACACATGCGACTCAAGTCGTTGAACCCTGAGAAACGACAGCAAAGCACATGGCTCAAAGGTTTTCCAACTCAACAGCAAGGCAGCCGATCCCACCTTTGCGTGCTTGTCGAAGGAATCACCCATGGCCTTAAGGCGCACATGCAGGCAGAGCGCAGGCAGAAAGAACCCCAACTCAAAGCGAAGCTTCTTCTTCGCCTTCTCCAAGAAGTCCATGCGCTGACTGAGCGATGCGTGGTGCTCCTCGAGCTTTTCATCGAGCTTCGCCTGCCGGCACGGCTCATGGCCCAGAACAACCTTTTCCAGGATACCGAGAGCTTCAATCGTGCCTTGCTGGCGGTGACGGTGCTGTGAATGGTGCTGTGAGACTTCTTGAGAGCATCGATGTGCTCTCCGTGCGCCTGTCTTGTGATTGGCTTCTCACAGCAGGGCTGCAAAAACACCGTCGACTGCCGCGAACCTCGCACCCGGAAACTCGCGCATGCATGTCGTCCAGCTTGGCCCGTGCATCTGCCAGCTCCTGCATGCAGCACACCATGCCGCTTTATCACTTTCGAAAGCTGATTAGTCCTTGGCGTGCTTGCTTGCTGAGTCGCCGAGCATCTGCTCCACATAGGCGAGCCGCTCGGAGACCCTGAGAGCATACGGCACTCAGGACTCCGAGGGGGGATGGGACAAAGCGCCCGTTCTCCGAAGCCACGCTGAGCCCCCAGTTCGCCAAGATGCGAAGCGTGGTTCGACTTAGCATCGCTGGCGATCTTCGAATGGAGATCTGCCAGTGCCTGACAGACCGTTGCGATGTACAGCCGTGCGATGCCGCCGGGGCGGGGTACAGGGTTGGCCCCAGGGCTGGCTTCTACAATGTTTCTGTGAACCGCCGGGGTCAAGCCGGAGATCTACATCCTGCACGTCGCCTTGCTGTGTTTGTCGGCATTGTCGCCCATAGTGGACTCCAGGAACTCCACGCGCTCCCTGGCAATGCACTACTCTCAGAGTCCCACGTCCCTGCAATGCACACAAAGGGTGCGCCTCAAAGATGCATGGGTGACATCCTGCTGCGCCTTCTGACCTGAGCTCAGTAACTCTGACCTACCAGGTAGAACCGAGGGCGGCAACCGTTTCAAGTCTGTGGGTGGCTCTGTGCGGCACCGGTACCGCTATGGGTATCTTACATATCCACTGAAAGCCCGTGAACTGTGTGCAGAAAGCTGGGGCCCCTTCTGGTGAGCGCATTGTGGACCTCTCGGCGCGGAAGGTGCCCTGGGCCCGTAGGCCCTATCCCTTCTCAGGTTCAAACCCGCCTTCTCCACACGATCAACCAGGCTGGCGTGGTTCCTGGAAGGATTCGGATCGTGCCCTGTGAGTTGCTGTGGGCCTCTGCATTTTGCGAGGCTCTGGCTGCTCCAGCGCTTGCTTCTCACCTTGGCAGAAGAGTTCTGGGTCTCTAAAAAAGACCGCTACTTTGAAGCCGAAGCTTCCGAAAGCATCTCTCTTCAAACATCCAAAATGACACGGGTGTGGGAGGAAGCAGCCGCAATGGATCACCACCATATTGCTGAGACAAGATGGATGCGCAGGCTGCTGGGCGCGCAGACTTTGTAGATTGCTGTGGGCCTTCTTCAGCGTCTCGAGCGAGGCACCGTGGGCCTGTCCAGGTAGCATCTTCTCCTCTCTCGTCTCGATGCAGACGGTCTACGTGGTTGATCTGGGACAGGACTGATTAGAAGTGCAAGCAGTGCAAGCAAGACTAATTAGCTGTGAAGCAAGGCAAGGCCTTATCGTGCTTCTCGAAGGAGTCACCCATGGCCTCTCATGAAGAACAGCCCCCAAGGGTCTCAAGCAGGGCCAGGGAAGCCATGGGCGGGGCCCGGCCTTCTCCAAGAAGTCCAACCGCTGCTGCAGCGTCGCATGGTGCTCCTCGAGCCGGGCCTCTGCGCCCGCCAGCGAAAGCGCAGAGCCAGGGACGCAAGACGGGCGAAGGCACCCACCTTGCTGCCGTTGTGGTCCATCTTCAGAGAGTCGCCGTGGGCCTTCCAAAGCCAGGGAAGGAAAAGAAAAGAGTGCAAGAGAGTATAACCAAAATAGAAAGGAAAGGAGCATAAAAAGAGCGCAAACACGTTGATCGAGTGTATCAGAGTCATACGTGCGGGGGGTCCTTCGTGCAGGAGCAGAAGCAGCCGTCAATTCATGCGTGTGTGTGTGCGCGCACTGTGGGACAGAAGACGGCCTCGCAGCCGGAGACTCGCACGTGCATTTCTTCCAACTTGGCCTTCGCGCTCTCAAGCTCCTGCACTGGAGGGTTCCCCAGAGGCAGAACTCTGGTTGGATACGCAGAGTGTTGCTATGCATCCAGTCACAAGGGTCAGCCAAAACACGATTAGAGACGATTGCCAGCAATGAAAACGTGAACGAAAGCACTACCGTTACAAAATGGATCCGAAGGCCAGCTACTGAGCTGAAAGATGAGAACCCATCATATACACACGCTCTGAGCGCATGAGTGCTGCGAACAATACGCATCACGAATTCACACAAATGATGCCAAAAAGTTATGTGCGTGACACTGGCAGCACAAACAATCCTAACAAGGATTCATAACCAGTAGAACCTTTGATCATCGTACAAACGACATCCTGCGAAGGATGCCAAATCCTAAGTCCTAGGTTCCACGGAAACCAGGCAGAGAAGGCTACTTGGCATCGTGGTATATCGGGGTAAGCACGAACGATGTCCTGAGCCACTAGTGACACTATCACCCACAATCACATCCTCATCTTTGCTGTCCTGAGCATGTTTGCTCACAGAGTCGCCGAGCAGCTGCTCGACGTATTGCAGTCGCTCCGCAAGCCTTTGATGCAAGGGTTCTGGGTTTTACAGTAAGGATGTTTCAGGTTTTCATCACGCAGAGTAAAGAGCAAGGCATAGCAAAGGAAGGCATGATCTGGTTGTCAGTGAGGTGACCACCATGTGGCGAGTGCCCGAGGCTACTCAGAGGCTGCCAGGGCGCGACGCGTGGCTGGACTTGGTGTCGTTCGTGATCTTTGCCTGCATCTCTGCCAAGGCCTCAGCACGCTCATGCAGCTTCGGCTTGTATTCTTGGGTGGTCAGAGGAGTCATCTGCTCACACCGCACACAAAGGAAGGGAACTTTCCAGATCGTGTACGCTGCGAGGTACTCACAAATGACTATGAAAAGTAAGCCTAACACTAACTTCAAACAACTTGCAACACCAAACGAAGGCAGAAGGCAGGAACATCTTCGAAGCACTCACCCCACGAGGTGCCTTTCCATGCTTGTCGGCATGGTCTCCGACCTTGGCCGCCGTGGCCGCCAGCTCCTGGGTAGAGTGAGAGCTCAAGGGGAAACAGCGAGGAAAGGAATGGAGCCAGGCTCGGAAAGATGCATCGCATCACCAGAAAGACGAGCAACAGGAAGAACATGAAGCAAACCAGTTTCATAATGCTCATGCTCGCAACAAGTACGTGTTTCGACTTTCGAAGAAGACTTCTCTGACGGCTTAACTCTGACATGATGATGTCTGGTTTGGGGTCGTCTCCTGAAGCCAGCACAAAGAAACTCTCTCCTTTTCGTGCTTGCCCAAGGAGTCGCCCATGAATTGCTCCAGGTACTCCATGCGATCTGTGAAGGGCATGTGGCCCTGGCACGGAACATTTCATCACTGAAGGGCTGGGACGCAGTAATGTGAGGTTTCCACCCCTCCGTGGGATCGGAGGGTGGCTAATGCCAGAGTTGATGCTAGAACTATGGAACGTACCGGATACTACGAAAGTTTTGAGCACCGACAGTACACTTCAATTCTTCACAACATGCTAAGCTGCTACTGAGCTGCTACTGACCTTCGTGATTAAAACCCCACTCCTCCAGCTGCATCGGTGGGCCTTCGCTTGCCGATCCGCAGAGCCACCCATCAGCCTTTCGAGGTAGTCCATGCGATCCTGTCCGAGCAACACACGCTGCCGTACTTTGATGCTCGGGTCTTCACAGACCCGCCAGATAGGTTTAGGGTTTAGACAGCACTTGCAAGGCCTGCACAGTCGAGTGCTGCTCACCTTGGCAAAGCTCGTGCTCGGTGATGTTTGGTCTTTATTGCGGCTCTCGGGCAGCGACCATGCCGCGACAGCTTCGCATGAAGATCCTCAGAAGTTATCATGCACGCATTGAGTGGATAGCTAAGGCGAGGCAACAAGATCATGTTGCAAGAACTGACAAGTACTACGACGGCAATGGACATAACAATGACAATCAAGAGTATAGTGATAGCGACAGTGACCAGATGTGACCAGCGTGAGAACTCTCTGTCCTGAATAGTGTGGTCGCGGGTAGCCTCCCGAAATGCGATCTGTCGCGAAGTGCCACCAGGACAGCCGAAGGCTGCGGACCCTGCCTTCTCGTCTTCGAGGTGCTGGCGAAGAGCATGCTGATGCACCTACCGATTCTGGCAAGTCAACTCCGCAACAGGATCTACCAAAGACTTGGGAAATGCGGCATGACGTAGACACGAGTGCCAGATCTCTGTAACCCAAGCAACAAGTTGCGCAGGAAATGGTCAAGCAAATTGCGTTGGTCGTACTGCACACGCATGTATCGGCGGCACTGCTGAACTCACGGCACCGCAGAGACTAATCACAACATAAGGCGATCTCTCAAGCATGAGCACCCCCGCGCTGAGCCCCTCGCGTAATGCAAGAAACTCGAACCAACCCAGGTACACAAAAAACTACACCTCCTGGCCACTCCCCAAGTCGAGCCTCGAGCTCCTGTGCGGAAGCATACTCTTGGCTTTGGGGGTTCGAGGCCGTGGTTTTCCAGTCGAGAACTTGTTCAGGACATTAAGTTGAGACGACCCAGGATGTCATTGAGCACTCACCTCAACTCGATATGTGCTCTCCATAGAAGTGCGAGTGCCTTGAAACTGCAGATAAGACGACGTCTTGAGTTCACCAGAAGGCGGCGTTTGCTAAAAGATATCTTGAAAGACCGTGCATGTCATGTCGGCGCCAATGAGTTTAGATCGCTTCACTTATCTTTGATTTTGCCTCGTGGCCTCGTGCATCTTGGTACAAGTTCTGGTTGTGAGTATGGGCCTTGTGGATGACAGTCGGGTGGCTTGCGCAGAATGTCTGCGAAGTCTTAGTTGGTTCAAGCCGGTGCCTCAACACGTGTGTAGAGTAAGACTTTACCTGGAATGCCTGTATGAGGTCTGCCTGGTGCAGCACGTCTTCATCGTATTTCGCAGCAGGATGGAGCGACAGAAATCCGAACCTTGTGTCGACCAGCATGCACGGCGAAGCCTCGACACAGCACATCGGTGCCCCAACAAGGGAGCTCGTGTTACTACTGCCCTGTTGCATTGTTGGTGGCTCTGCTTCAGACATCGTAGCGTTCTGTGATCTGAGCCGCAAGCTCCCGTCGAGCTCTGCAGTCTTCTGCTCCAGCTTTGCCAGTTTCTGCGAGGGTCTTTGGGTGACATCCGTATTGTGAAGTGACACCCGGGTGGCCTCCACGTGCTTCAAGTGTGATGCCTGGATCTCCTGCTTCCAAAGGCATGCTGCACCGTGATTGGAAATCACCCTCCGAACTTGTCCGCGTCCTCGATGTGGGGATGCCAGGCCGTCTCCAGGACGCGAAGCTGCCAAGTCGCGACGGGATCCGGGCCGCTATGAGCACTTCTTGGACTCCGTAGCAGCAGCCTGCTCCTTCATGTAGCTAATCTGCTCGTGCAGCGATGGCATGTCCTGCTCCAACTCCGACACCTGCTGCAACACAAGGTGCACGGCTGCATTCACTACAAAGTGCTGGAAATGACAGTATGGGGGGGCACCGTAGCAACCACAGCTTGATGACAACGAAACCAAGAGCAGCAAGGCAGCAGTATGCAGCAGTTGCAGAAGCAGCAGTGTTGGCCGTGCTAGTAGCAGCCGGGGAGCAGTAGTCGTAGTCGTAGTCGTAGTTCTAGTAGCAGCTGTAGTAGCAGTCGTAATAGTCGCAGTAGTCGTAGTAGTCGTAGTAGTCGTAGTAGTAGTAGTACTAGTAGTAGTAGTAGTAGTAGTAGTAGTAGTAACATGGAAAATGGAAAATGGAAACCTAAACTCCCCGCCCCACACCCCCCTCTTACCCAAGAGACCACGGGCGCCTTCTGCACCTGCTGCTGGAAGGAGGTGTCTCGATAGCGCATCTCTCGTTCCAGCTGGTTCTGCCGAGCGCACAGGAGTCGTCACATACCGGATCCCGTCATGTTTGCCCCTGCGTCCTTGGTTTCAAGCTGCTTGCCCTCCAGGCTGCTCACCTGTTGCGTGACGGGGAGCATCTAATGCAGCGCCGCAGACTGGCGGTTTCGGCGAGCGCCCCTTCCTGGGGTCCTGGCCGCAGCCCCTTGGCTCAGCCCTGGCGTTCAGGCAGACCCTGCTACGCCTCCTCAAGCAGCTACAAGTGCCATCGAGAGGCGCTGGGACTCCTGGTCCGACTTCAACGTCATCACCTGTTTCACACAGAAAGTTGGGAAGGTGTAGATGTTCGAAGCACCAAGCTGCCAGGTTTACGACTGCCAAGTGACGCGAGGGTAAAGAAGGGATCAGACAGCCTAGGGGGTTCACCGTCTGTGCCTCCGCCCTCAAGGCATTGAGGTCCTTGATGCAGTTGGCGGTCTGCTCCCGGACAAGCCTGGCTGGCGGCACATGCTGGCACCGATCTTGCACCAAACGCATATCCCGACGCCTTCAAATCCTTCGCTCCTCCCTGATGTGGCATGGAACAGGCATTTCAGCGGCCTCAGCTGGGTCTGGAAGACATCCGCATCCTGCCAGCACCAGAAGAGCATGAGAGGCCGGCACACAAGACCCATGTTAAACTTCATGGACAGCCAACAACAGCCACACCGGTCCTGCGAAGTCGGCGACATGGGCGTGTCCATCGCGGACCTGTTCGATCCCCGCTGCCCACACCGCGAACCCTCCCTGATCCACTGCCGGCGGCCTGCCCGTCTGGGGCCCTGCCCCTCTCCACTGCCAAGGTGTGAAGGGCACAGGGATGGGAAGAAGCTCCGAGCCCAGCGACCCAACATGCAACTCACCCACTGGATTGGATCATGGATGCACCAGCATGCATGAAACTTGATCGCGTTTGCAAGTGGTGTGTTCCTACAAAAGAAATTGCAGACGATGAACGCGATGGGACCGGAATTGATCGGAATTGGCAGTGCACGCTGTGGCGAGCCAAAGCATCGGCGTACGGCAGGGATGTGACGGCAATAATAATCTATCTAAGTGATCATCTGCAATCGCCATCGATGGCACTCTCCGGTCATTCACGCTTCGGAAGGACATCTCCGAAGAGGGGAGGCAACAGTACGATGCCTTGGCCAGGAAGCGCAGGCGAGGTCAGATGGGTTTGCGCGCATTGCCAGGTCCGGTCCCATCGCCCATCTCGATCTCCTAGTATCATGGCAGAGTTCCGGGTCGGAGTTCGATCTTCCAAACGTTTCAGAGTTTCGCGGCGGTTTAACGGCGCAGCGTCATCCAGGTCGAGGCATGCTGAAGCCACGTGGGCAAGCGTACAAACGCCTGTTATGTGACACCGCGTTCGAGGCAACATGTAGTACCGTGGCACAATCAGATGCAGATGCAGATGCGGCAGGCAACATATGGGAACCGTTGCACTCGCGGACCTCCAACAACTACATTGAAAGAACTGCTGGCGTTGTTTTACGGACATGCCAGGTCCGACATGGATGTGCAAGTGCATGCTCGTCATAACCACACCCCTACATCGACGCGCGAATTCTCAGCGCCACTCGAAACCTGTGAGAATCGAGACTGGCCAGCTAGGAGAAAGACGGCCGTCGTGCACCTGCGGCTCCTGCAGCGAGAAACAAACAGATGTAAATAGCGCATGAAAAACATCAAGAACGGTGAACATTCCATATCGAAGTTGCGTAAGAAACGGCACCCTTTTGCACACAAAGCCGAAAGCTTGGGAAGAGAGAGGCCAACGGATGCTGTGTGGGCTCCGGGTTATTAACAACCACATTTCTGCCATAGCTCGAGACCGGCAATCCGACCGGTGCTACTCACCTGTCACATCCCACCCGGGCCCGCGCAAGGGTATCATGTACTTCATATACGCCCTCAAAAGGTAGATAGTAAGCAATTACTAAGCCCTGCACAGTGTCACGGGGACGTCGCTTTATGGGGATCCTGTAGCTGACACTGTCAATTTTAAATTACGCATGCCTGCGTGGCGGTAGGCCGAAAACGAGTTGAAATCGGCAGCAGGAACTCTCACAGGACCACCGGGCTCCGAAGGCAATACAACCGCGAAAGATGATAAGAAAGCATGAAGACAGTTTTTGTTATTATTGCTTATAATAACATCGATTGATTCGCCTCCTGGCTCCCCATTTGCAATCGTATAGGTGACTTTGCACTGGGTCCAGTGGGGGTTCAGAGTTTCTGTAGGTTTTGAGACACAGGTTGATGTGACTATCGTGGGAAGGGTTCAAGATCAGAAGTTTCCCTCACTTTAAGCGCAAAGCCCTGCAGGTAGGGCGCTGGAACTGAAACCCATACCACCCGAAAAAGGCTCTGGCCCTTCCCCAACAACGGGAAAATAAAACGTGATGCCCATGCATGCCCTTACTTGCTTATGAAAGTGCAGCTGGCTTTGTCCTAGGTTGTGTATGCGGACAGGTAGCTACAAGCTCGTTGGTAATTTAAAGATACCTTTTGCGGGCCAGCCGAGTCAGTACTGCAACACATCCTCCTGACACTCCTCAAACACAAATGCAACACATAATGATAACTTGCTGAAGATGGATCTCTGTGAAACACCTCAATCGGCATTTTGAGACAGTGTTATCACAGCAAAACACAAGCATGAAAAACCGTGAAGTTGAGTGGCTAAGTTGCTTCTAGGCAAATGCTTAGCGCACAACACAAAGAGCGCTTTTATTGCCACGTCCCCCGGCAATGCAATGACGAGGCCAGGTGGTCCGTCAAAGCAACAGAGCATAACAGGGCGTTTCGACGCCATGCACACTCCGGTACACAATCCCGATGATCTATCTGCGCACCTCTGTCGCAGAGTGTTTCGTCGGACACATCCAACTTAAACGCAGGGACAGCTATGGGTGGTGCTGATGGCCTCGGGCGAAGACTCGCGAAGCCGCGAGTGGGGTGCCGGTGCAGCGCAGACAGGTGGCTTTGGGCTTCAACAGGTCTGGGGTTTGTACTGTTTACAACAACGAGAATCATGTGTTTCAGTTTCGTGAGGTTTGGCTGCAGAGGTTTGTGGTGGGTGTGCAGAGTCGTTTGTTGGTCCAACAGTGCTCGGTCGTACGTTTTCGAGGATAACAGGACAACTGTCTCGAAGCTTTGTTCGTTGCTTTGCAATCCTAGCTCCTTTCTCGAACCTCGCTTGCCAGGCCGTACTTCCGATGATTCAGAAGCGTATGACGGAAGAGAGTGAGCTGAAAGTCACGGACATGAGGCGAAGGTCCTTGCTGGAAACCAGAACAACAAACGTGCTGCTCTTCATGACTGCCTCTCTGAGCAGGCCGGACAGAAGCATGTCGTTGCGGTCAACCACTTGTATTGCGGAATATTTTCTGCAAGGACAGCGCAGGTCTGCAGCTGGGGCAAACTAGCGCCAGGCCCCCTTCGCATGACGTGGGCGCCAGCGCATCTGGCATGAAGGGCAACATGACACTTCGTGAACACAGCAGTGGATGATTCGAAAGCTGTGTCCGGGCACTCAAGGAATCAAGCTGGGTGCACGTCTCTCTCCGCATCTCGGTGCCAGCTTGGCTCGCCAGTCCTCAGACACTCACAGGATGTGACGCTTGAGTTGGAACTGCCGTGGCTTGCCATTGTCCCAGCTGCATCCAGCTGCAGGCCCCGAGTAAACCGCTGTCTGGCGTCGAGCCGAGGCCACTGCCAGACACCCATCTCCCGCAGCCTGTCCAAGCGCCTCTCCTGGCCACGCAAAGCAGACCTGAAACTGCCCGAAGAGGAACCCTACCCGCAATCACTTCTCTGACACTCGCTAGGCTGCTCTCCCAGTGTGTACCTTTTGCCACGTATTTGCATGTAAACCACCTACAAATGCGCACACCTAGTCACCTATCATCGCGTTTTACGTTGCTAAATTATTAACACCTGAACCTATCCACCAATTCGTCCATAAGCGGGACGTTTGTATTCGGTGATCAATCTGCTCATTTATGTGTGTGCGACACCCTTCAACTTGCCCGTGAATTCATGTGCCCACGCATTGGTGTGTTCCTCATACTGCCTTGCTTTACATACCTTCCATGCATTCGTCTCCTTTCGTTGTCTATTCACCCTTGCAGCCCATGCAGATTGCTCATGTGCATCGTCTTAAATCTTCATGTATGCAGGACTTCAGGTGTGCATCTTTGCAGGTTCGCGTGGCTCGTTGATTTGATCACTTGTTGAGTTGTTCATGCTCTCAGTACTGATGTACCTACGCACCCATCCATGAAGGCTATGCTAGCATGCGCGACAAAAAAACTCATTGAATCTGTTCCGGCACTCGCCCTGCTTCATGCCTTGCATCCCTTCGGCTCTTCTTAAATTTGGACCCTCTGATAAGTTGCCAGATATAAAGAAAAAGCACGAAGAAACATCCAAGCCAGTAAAAACTTCCGCGGCCTCGTCCTCTCGTCGGAGCATCAACTCCAGCTTGCGGGCGCGCTTGACCCTGGGTCGGCGGTGATTATTTTCCGGACAGCCTGTACATGCGCACCTGCAATAGCTGTAGTCGCACAAACGTTTGCATTTATGCTAGCAGCAGCAGCAACCCTAATCGTAACAGAAACAGTGACAGCACAAGTTATAGTAATGGCAATGGCAATAGTAATGCCAATGGCTAGCAATAGTCGTCGTCGTCGTCGCTGTCGATGTCATCATGGCTGGCAGAATCGTCGTCTTCGTTGTGGTGGCAGCAGGAGGGGAGCTGGAGGAGGAGGAGGACGAAGAGGAGGAGGAGGCGCACCAGCAGCACCACCGGCAGCAGCGTAGTGCGAGTAGAGCGAGGATCAGAAGACAAGCAGAAGCAATGGCAAACGCACATAGACAGCCCGGGCCGACGGCATCTCCTTTCGCTTCACCTCGCCCTTGTTGTAGATCCACTTTGGCGTATCTCAGAATAGGTTTAGGGTGTGATAGGGATGCACAAGCTGCGCTTCAAGGTGAGCCTTCCCTTCTGAACATGCCTGCTTCGCCCTAAAACCCTGCCCCATCGAGTACCTGCGTACTTGTCCCCGTAGATCTCGCGGGTGAAGGGATGGTCCTTCATCCTGGGCAGGACTGCCGTGCTAGGTGTCAGGACGAAGCGAAAGAAGGGCTCAACGACTGGAACCTCAAAAGCAAGGACGCTGTGACGCGTAAAAATGCTCCCCACCTGCCCCTGTCGGAGTCAGAAAAACGACCGGATCTCTGAAGACGCCCGAGCCCAGGGCATGACGATGAACTTGAGGTGGCCGTTAGGGTAGCGGCCTCGGAAGTGTTGATTTCTTGAGCTCTACAAACAACCTGCATAGAGTCATAGAGTAGGGTGGATAGGGTGGTTCAGGGTCCAGGTTCCGTTGCGACATGCATACATACAAGGCGTCTGCAGCATGAGGTACTCTGCCCGATCCCGATCCCTGTGAGATACGTGGGGCCCGGCACATGCCCATCTTCCTGGCCGTTTCAGACGAGCTTAACAAGCTGCAAGCTCGTTGCCGACTGCCACATGGCGTCGTCTTGCCAGACTGAATTAGGGCGCTTCTGCTTTGAGTTGCCATGGGTGGGTCAGCTTCTCAAGAATCAGTATTGCGGGCTACATGCATGCCAACAGTTCTCCTTCATGTCCCGGTTATCCTTTGCAGACACACGATAATCACAAACCCGAAATGCGTTGGAATGCCCCCATGCGTCAACGTGAAGCAACCGCATTCCGAAAGCCTTCGCCACTTCCGGATCTTCCTGGGCGCAGTCAGAAACCATGTAGCTGTCGGCTCGGCTGGGGGGGGGTTGGAAAAGGCCGGGCCCCTTTCGAAGCTCTAAAAAGCCGGTGCTGGGCCGAGGCTCTTGAAGTACTCGAACATGAGCTTCGGCTTCCTCCTGGAGACTCCGAGAGCATACATGAGCACAATCTGGCATGGCTGCTTCATCTCGGGCCGGCCTCTCCACCTCGCTCTGTGGCATCTTGAAATACTTGCTCCACCTCGGTGCCGTCCCAGCTAACTCGCCCGGACCACGCGTGAGCTCTACTCGCAGCAACAGCAGCAGCGAGAAATATTCGTTCATCATCACAGATATGCGCGGCAAGCCGGATGGATGAGAAGTCTCCGGGAAAAGCCAAGGCCGTGACTCGCCCGTCTCGCCGGTCTTGGCTATTTCCTGCAATGGAAATTCCGTGGTTTGTCATCAGTCGCGATGAGCAAGGAGATCAGCGTCGGAGCAGGAGGAGCAGCTTCCATCCCTACAGAGGGAGCCCGAAAGACCCAAGCTTCCGAGAGCCCCGGACGTACATCCCGTCGGAGAAGACTTTGTACTTGGTTTTGTTGTACCAAGAGATGCTGAACCTGGGCATGTCACTACAGCACTGCGCGTGAGTGCAAGAGCCTGCTCAATGCAAGTAGATGATGAGCATCCGGCTGCTTGCTGGAGCCATCAAAGACTGATTCGGGCTCTGCATCTGTAGACCTGGGAGCCACGCCAAAGCTCCGGAGGAGGCAAAGATCACAACAGCGGCCACAGCTAGTTGACCTTCCTCAGACATCGGCAGCTCCTCTTCATCCTCATCATCCTCCACATCCACGTCCACTACCTGGCGACTGAAGGGCAGACTTTACCCGCAGGCTGGCCACAGTCAACAAGCAATGTTGGCTCGAATCTGACCACTACGACTGCAGAAAGCCGACCCCAAGCATTACAACCTTTGACTGCGGCTCCGTGCCTCTGCATCTTCTGCCTTGCTGCTGCACTGCGGTTTGTGGCAAACGAATCGTGGCAGAGTTTACTCACCCCTGGTGCGCTCGAAGGCCATGCTTCCAGAGCAACAGATCGCTGTCTATATATGAGCACAAACTCCAACTTCTTGCAAGCCTGACAATCAACCCTAAAGTGCATTTTGAGCCAAAGCTCAGGGAGTCCTCACTAGGGAAGCGCATCAGGAAATACTCCAAAACCCAAACACCCCAGCGCCTTCCGTGCTAAGGTGCAACAACCCTTCGCAGCGGCGCAGGGAGTCCCAATAAAATCCGGCCAAGCACTGTAAAGAAATGCATCCACCCAACAGAAGAATCAGAGACACCCGGTGCCTCTGCTCGGAGGACTCGTCCGCGGGCCTCTGCACTTGTCTTCGTTTAGTCGTCCTCTTAGTCTTGTGACTCTTTCAGCATGCCCTCATCCTACCCAACATCGATTCAACACATTGACATGGCTCGAACCTTGGCTTGCTCGAGCGAGAAGAGCTGAGGCCTTCGCCGGCGAGAGCGCAGGACGACCGCCCGCAAAGGCAAAGCCTTGGTTCTATACAAGGAGTGAGGAATTAGGGTTAAAGGTATAGGATCACGTAGGGCATCCGTCAAAGATTGAGAAGGACCGTCGTCAATACGATCAGAATACCGTATAGGTATAAGCAACACACGCCGGAGACCCACGACTACGGTGTGGCATCAGGACAACCGAAACAGCACCTGGCACCTAAAGATCCAAAGAGTGAGCCTGAAGCATCGGGCGCCAGGACTTTTGGTCTTGAGGTTTACAGTCTCCGCATGGGTGTTGCTGCTGGTGGACTCAGCTTTGGACAGCTGGCAAAGCCCGATGAGACCTTGGAACCAAGGCCGAGCTCTCCGGATCCTCTTAAGGTGCTGCCCGCTTTCCTATATTGAATCACAACAGTCAGAGCATCGTAGTAGCAGTCAAGTCCCAGGTCCCCTGGCCACCACCAGCGCCGCCGCGGCCAGAGCCGCCAGGACGAGGCGCGGGCGCCGCGCCTGCACGCAAAGGGCTACGATGGTGACGCCGAGCACAGGGGGACCTGAAGCCTGAATCCGGGTGATGAAGCGACTGACACCTCTATCCACGGCGGACATGCGACAAACTGAACTCATCAAACCTCCGGACACAAAAGAAGAATAGGCTGGCACTGCCGAGAACTCGGACAAACGACGACGTCAACTGGCCTCTAGTCTAGGCGACAGCATGGTCCCGTTAGGAGAAATCGGCTTGAGCCAGATTTCCTGCGGCAAGACATTCAGAGACGGTACTGTTGCCATCACATCCTGCTGGCTTTGCTCCTTGGCACTTTGCAGTTGGCACCTTTTTCCCCAGGACCCGCACAGGTAATCGCTTCAACGAACAAGAGCCCCTCAGCTGCTTTCGCGCATCTGTCAGGCACACGACTCGAGGACCCGATGCAAACGCTGAAGCTCTACGACACGGTTGCCCTGTGCCAATCCCTGGCCCTCACCACAGTTCCTTGAGTCCGAGGAAGAGGCTTTTCATTGCTTTTCGCGGCTTAGGGGGGTGGATTTACGTGAACCGCCGGCGGCCTCCTTGGCCCAGAACTCGCGCTCGGCCAGCTTCTTCGGCACCTTGCCACTCGAAGCTGCGGCCGTCGTGGCAGTTCTTGCCCGGACGAGAGTGCGAAACGAAAGCAGAAGCGACGCCGGAGTTGGCAAACGCTGGTCGGTTGGTACCATGCTCTCATTTCCCGCCTCGCGCGCAGCCTCGAACTCTGCCTCGCGGTCGTAAGGGTACTCCTGCCGCTACGAGGCTTGCAATCCGGAGCAAGGAACCCTCCCCCAAAAAGCAGGAGAGAGCCCAAGTACAGCCAGTGTCCTTCACGAGATCCTGCATCTGCTGGACCAGGATCTTCTTGGGGCTTTTGAAAGCCCATCCTCAGCCGAAAGTATCACCTACACTTCTCCACTGCGTGGTCGCCATACCAGCCAGGCAGCCATTATGCGCATCAAACTTCGCCTTGAACCCAGGGGGCGATCGACAAAATCACGGCAGCTTTCTACGTCCCAGCCTTAAGATCGAAGAAGGCCTCACGGGAGATGATGACCTGAGGACAGCACGAGTCTCACCTGCTCAGCACTGCTCAACGGCCCTCAAACTCCAAAGGCTCGGGTACCAGGGGTTGGGCTCTTCTGCCCAGCAAGGCTTGGTGCAGCCCGTCGCTGTCCGGATCCATGTCGCCTGCCACTCCCGTCTTCCACGGTTCAGGAAATCATTCATTGAAAAGACATGCCCGCGCGGCGAGGGCGTCGCATGGAGAAATTCTCAATCAGACGCCCGGCCATGTACAGCGGACTCCTACGACAGGGGCTGCAGCGCAAGAAGTCCTTGACAAACTAAACCAGTCTGGCCATGAGCCAAAAGGACGGTTGATGCTAAAAAACGCCGTCTAAAGGGACTCTGGCCATCGAAACCCCCCGGCGCCTAAAGCTCTCCTTGGTCGGAAGGCACCAATACTTGTGCTCCTGCAAGCGGCACTAGGCGCTGGTGGCGCACATCTTGCCGTTTCGACGAAAGCGGGGACGAGGATGAAGCCTCCGTGATGACGATGACGATGATGATGATGATGATGATGGTGATGGTGATGGTGATGGTGATGGTAATGGTGTTGGTGATGATGGCGATGATGACGAGGATGACGATGATGGTGATAGTAAAGATAATGGTGATGATGGCGGTGAATACAGTACAGTGGTGGTTCCTGCTAGTGTCGAGCTACCAGACAGAAGAGGATGTGACAAGATTGAGGAAATTTCAGGACCATCTACAGCGAAGGACATGATACTGGCACGCAGTGCTACTGGGAACGGTGCCGCCCGTGAATACAATGTTGTCGGATTGCTGTCCAGCGATCGATAAGACAGCAAAGGACTCGAAGACGGCTTCTCCTCACCATAGCCGCTGCGAGTGATCATCAGCGTCTGCCTTTGCTGGGCAGAAGCACATGCATGGTGGCAGTTCTTTAGAAATCTGTGCCGCCCACTTGATGCCCGGTTTCATGCCAGTCCAGGCTTTCACCATGTCGCTCAGCTCGTAGTACCGGGGCTCCTCAAAGTGGTCCTCCGAAACATGCGGAGGAGTATGCGGATACAGATATTGAGTGCAGTTCGATCCTGAACCCTTGGTCCTCCAGGCCCTCCACGATCTTCATACACCTCCACTTGCTTTGCAAAACGGTTGAGATGGCCTTGCAGTGGAACAACCTGGCGAGCTGCTCGTGCAAAAGCACTCAGGTGAAATTTCGGTTCAGAGTGAAGGAGCGCCTAGGAAGGAACTTCTTCTTGCGGTCGTCCAGGCCGTGCCGATTCTTGTTGGTGGCCGACTTGCCCCAGAGCGGGCTGTATCTTGGCGACCGGCACAATGCTCAACATGGCAGCTGCCAAAGGCGCAAAGACCGGTCCACGTGCCAGACGCTCGGGTTTGCGCATTGTGCCCATGCGAGCTTTGCCTACGCCTTTGTTCTTCCAAAGCTTCTTTCCTGGCCACCACGAGGTTCACAACTATAAGCTGGAAGCAGAGACTCTAACCCTACACGCTACACCCCATCTCTGTCGAATTTGAAACCCCAGCCTTTCTTCATGTCGCTTCGACGCTTGATGAATGCCGTAAACGGCAGCTGCTGGTACTTGTAGATCGTGTGCGCCTGAGGTGACTCTGGCAGAAGAGGACGCACCTGTTTTTTACCAGTGGCGCTCATCCGCCTGGTGGACGCAGTAGTTGGCCGTTTCTCGGCTAAACGTTCGAAGCTGCAGCTCTTCCTCGCCTTAAGAGTCCGGAGCATGCCGAAAGCCATTCCCCGGTCTTGCGATGGTCGGGATATTGCCGTTGTCATTCAAGAAAACCTCCTCGGAGGCTCTTGTAAGGCCAGCACCGATCTTCTGGCCAGCCAGATTGACGACCTGCCACAGGAGATGAAATATGATGAAATTGCAGAGATCGTTTTCAAGGTTTGCAGCTGCTGAGGCTTCTGAGCTCACAACGGGGATTCGCTTCTGTGTTGGCACGGCGCGCCGAACCGTGAGCCAAGCCTCAGCCCCCACGCTTTTGTGTCGTCTGTCGCTCAAATCAGCCTGTGCAATGGCAAAATCTGTGAATCTGCTTCTGCCCGTGACAATGCTAGCTCTCGGTTGCCAACGCGAGCAGTGACAGCTATTGCCGACGCACATAGAGCAGCCGCACACGGAACAAAGCCGTCAGGGCGCAGCCTGGAGCTGCTTCAACACTGCAACAGTCGCAGAACTTCCAAACCAGACCCTCACGACAGTTGTGCCTGGGGCCGCTCTGGGAAGGTCGGGCGGAGCTCAATCGCTCAAGGGAAGGCGACACGCCTGGCACAGGAGACCGACACCCGTTGGCTCAACATGGTGACGGTTCTTTGCGTGGTGGCTCTCAGCTTGCTTCTTCTCGTGCATCGGGTCTTCATAACCAACCCTGAACCACAAATCAAAGCCTCTTGACATGTCACACTTACTCATCTGTCCCACACTGGGTCTCAGGGCTGACAGGAAGTTCGAACCCGCTGTGCCACCAAGCCATACCCGATCGTGGGATATTAAAGAGCGCCAAGCTACATCATGCTGCGGAATACAAGCAGCCCTGAACGTGTATTCAGATGTATGACAAGAGGCAGCGACCATGGTGTGCGGGGACGAAGCTTCCGTCGATTGAGAGCGCAAGCAAAATGACATCATCGGAACGTTACCAGGCTACCAACAAAACGCCGAAGACTGCACCTCCTATCGGCTGAACGAAGCCAAAGGCGCCACAGGCCTTGCAGAAAACTCAGCATTCAAGTCGGGGTGCTACCGTGCGCGGCAGCTGCTGCCCGTTTTGCCCCGTTTGCTAGGGTCCGCACACCAGCTATCGCTGCCAAGGAAGCGGCGAACAGGAGGCGCCGCGCCTGCACCGTAACTGCAAGCAAAGCAAAAAAGTGAACATGTCTGAAACAAAAAGCCGCTGCATCTAGGTTTACGTTCTAGAACCTGGACTCAAAAATTGCCTCCGAGGGATAACAACAGCACCAACAACAGTTTGCTGCGGCCTCGAATTTTCGTGATAGCATGGTCCCTGTCTAAGAGAAACCGGCTTGAGCCAGATTTCCTGCAGTGACGTACATCGAATGATTGACTGACTGACTGATTGATTGATTAATTCAACGCCGGGTACATTGTGGCTAGACATTTTCGGTACTGAAAGCTCTCCTACCACACTCGCGGTTTCTTTGGCGCCATCGTTGAAGGATGAAGGGCTCATCGGCCAGCTCCCCAGCGCGGAACTTTGGGCCCGGGAGATCTCCCAGGCATTCCACTTCGCCGCAGCATGAGACTTCATCCCGAAAACTGCTGACTGCCACAATTAAGAACAACACCACAGGATGAGAAACTCCCTTCGTCTTCTGGCCACAGGATGTGGGGTGTAGACTGCGTTGTAGACTCCACTCTTGAGATGTCATCATGAGGGGGCAAGGAAAACGTGATCAAAAGGCCATGCTTTGCGAAAGGACATTTGCCAGCTGGCAGGCGTCCCCTCCTCCTCTCCCTCCCTCGCCCCCCTCTTCCCCTCGCTGTGGCTCAAGCCAGAGCCCTTGGCCAGGCCCGCGAGCCCGCATGCTTCGGCATCCTTGGAGACCATCTTCATAGCTACCAATAAACGCATATGCCCTTTGCAGCAGCTTTCGTTGCACGTTTGGCTGTGTGAGACAGAATTCAGCAGTAGTGGGGTTTCCAAATCTCCATTTGCAAATGCCTGTTGGCATGCTTCTAGAAAGCCTTCAGTTGCTGCTGTGCTTCCGCATGGCTAGGGATCGTCGTCAACTCGCCGCAGGATCTTCAGGTCAGACATCAGCATATCTTGCACTTTGTCCTGCTCAATTTGGAGGGCTCTGACCAGCATGGACACCCACTTCTGACGCTGAGGCGTCGTCAGTGCTCGCAGAACGGTAAGAAGATGCGCTGCACACTGCATTGCCTGCTTCAAGTTCTCTCTGCTGATTTCGGTGGACTGTGGAAGCAGGTCTTCCATCCGGTCAAGCATGGCTTCGGCAATCAATTGCATTGGGTCCGAGAACTTCATTCTCTGCAATCCGCGGAAGAAATCCATTCAACATTCCGACAAAGATCCTGCATTCACAAAACGTGCGGCAGTTGACATGGCACTCCCTAATTTACATGGCTGCACTCATTGCC